TCATATTAAACACCTGAAAGACGCCATACCTACAGTAGAAATTGAATGCTTTAAAGTTTAGGTTATGTGTTAATGAGGCTGCAATAAATGGAGTCCCTTATGACATCTGACTGCGAATACGTGGGATAGACCGACCTTTCAGGCAGTCAAACTAAATGCTTGTATGAAGATTCATGAATTTCGAGCTCAAAAGCCACTTGGCAAGTGATGCTAACCGAGGCGATCTACCTGCATATAGCTCATTGTAAGCCTAAAATCCTTTGCAGGGCAGATGAGTAAAAGCAGCTCGTCATTTTGAAGTTGAAATTTTATTTGAATCTTTGTTTGTTTGAACCTTAAAACCAGTGAGTGGCGCAAATCGGTTTGGTACTCAAGCAGTGATGAAAAAGTATACATTCCAGTTTATTTGCTATTATGCCTGCAAGGCCACATTTTTTGTAACTACTGCAGATGGTTTTTAAATAATGGACAAAAGGCTTCTTATAAAAGTATTATTAGACAGCCCAGAGTGGCTGCTTGAGTATACTTCAATGCAAATTGTAGCATACTCGCTAAAAATACCAAGTTAGTTTCGTGAACCTCACACGAGCGACATATTAGCTTTGTTAAGGCCTACATCAGATATCAGTTGTAATTAATTAACACCCAACAATTTTTAATTTTAAAAAAAAAAAAGAAAAATATTTGGGCAAACTGCTAAGCTCAAGGCTACACTTTTGAAACGAGTATGCAAGTGGAAGACAAAATCGAGCCCAACACCGCAAGCACAGTATGCCACAAGTAAATAATCAGCGTGGCATTCATTGAGTGGAAGTTGTGTTAGGGTAGCCCACAGCCAATTCGACAATAAAGACGTGGTTAGAGGTTACATAGAGACACGATTAAGCCTATTTGGTGTGATTCGTAATTGGTTCAGCCTTCTAAAAGCGGGTCATCGTTTCCCGGCACGACATGTTCCAAATATATTGACATGAAGGAGAAGTCTGCATGAAGGATAACAAGCCAAGTGATCAGATTTAAAGAATTTTTAACATAAGTAGAGGGGAATGACGGAAAAACTCTCGAAAATTGACAACAATTAAATTTTAGTAGGCATGCCGGTCAACCGATCACTATAAATGGTGGTACAGTTGTAGACGAATCCTAAGTAGTAATAAACACCACAACCCATTAGAACCAAAGTCCATTAAAATTGAACCATGTCGTGTCAATATTACAAACAATAAATCATTTTAGAATGCTTATTGCGAGACCTAGGACTAATATTTTGCCAAATAAATTCTAGTTTTTAATAATAGCTTGAATTCGATTACTCCGCAATGTTGGATGCCACAAGCATTGTCACGAGTCGCATAAATTTAATTCCAGTTAATATGCCCTGTGTCTAATCAAAGAGACCGAAGTTTGATTAAGCCTCCTAAATTTTAAATGCATGCATTATCCTAAACATTGATCTAATTTGATTTTATGGGAATTGGTTTCCGGTAGTCATGGATTCTGTTAAGCCGTCTTCGATATTAATGAAGGAGCCCAGTGGAACGAATGCGGGAGCATATTGTTGCAGTTAACGCTTGTGCGAATTGATTTCACTCGTGAATTTACCTTGTGTGACCTGGTTCGTGATTTTTGTTGGTCAACGAACACATTATTCTTCTGAAGGAGCAGGTGGACATTGTACCTGCTGATGAAGTAGTCAAGGAGTGGGACCTCTCAATTACCAGCATCACTGCCACCTGGAGTTGAGGACAAGGCCTTGATAGTCCAGACGCCTAAACACAATTTCCGCTTGCCTGAGATCTTCTTTTCTCAGTCGTAATGTCTTCGGGAGTGGCGTTAGTGCGTGCGCAGAAATCTCGCGGACTCTTAATGCATTATTCATCAATCCACGGGAACCCTGTGAAGCGCCACAGCAACCAAACGACATTGGTAGTGCTGAAACGTCACTGATTGATGTGGCAATGTCTTTTTTGGTGTTTGACACAGTTGAGAAGATACTAAGAGGAAACGTTGGTGAAATTTCCTTTGTGTCAAGAAGCGGTTGGTAAAAGTTCGCATCGGGCATATAGCGAGATGCGTCTACAGTGACGAAAGCGTAATTCATCGAAGTATTTATGCATGTGTACGAATTAAGAAGAGCGGTCATCATTTGGAGCTCAAGGCAGGACCAAGTCAAATTCTCGAACAGACCCTTTTGGTTAAACGGTCTGAATTCACATCAAAGCAAATCATCACACTGATTTGTGTGACAAGATTGGTATCAAGCTGCGTTTGTCTAATAAACCGTATTTATACTATCCTTAGTGTTGTCGTCGTCGTCGTTGTGCAGGTTCACTACTCCCAAATACGCGGGTGTTTCGATGGCCCACAATCTCCCCCCGCTTTTCCACTCATTTTACAGTAGCGAATCTTCAAATTGTCATTGTCAATAACAGCCTTGTTAGATTAGGGTTCAAGTGATATTCAAATGTGTACGGCACCCGCACGCACATTGATTTCTAGAGGAACATCATCTCAGTTGCTAGAACGTGCTTTCCTACCATCATTATCGGCCAAATACTACTGTGTTCAATTCTCTCGATGAAATGTTTGTCGGCTAGAGTAGCTGGATCAATTTGTAAGAAGTGGAAATTTCCACGATTGACCTCTAGATGTTGAATTCATGCGTGAGATTGTCGTGTGTCTTGCGGCAGTCACTGGTTCGAGGTATTCAATGCCTGATGTCATGAAGGCGAGTTAAACCGGACTTTAGTGTGAGCCTGCAATTTGAAGCGGATGCACAGTGCCTGTGCATGACTTATTCACTTTACGCGTTTGCTTCTATTTGCCTTCTTTGAAACCACTATCATTATTGTATAAAATGTCCTTTTGTTTTTATGATCACTGTAATCTTGTGCGCCTACGTACTCGAAGGCCCAAATGGAAGGCAATTAATTTACCCCATGGTCGTAAAGTCGTTGCCTGCAGTGAGCGTCATAGCAGTACACTGAGTTGCGTTTACTAAAAAGTATCACATTAGCGACCATGTCTTGCGTAGTCAGCAAATCTCCAAAGCTCAATCGTTTGTTCTAGATTAAACATGCTTGTGATCAATTTTGTATATTTATAAGTTCTAGCCAAAGGCTGAGTCATGGTAAAGTGTCTACTAGTTGTTATAATTTCAGTAATTTTTTTTAACCAGAAGTGAGTGCTTTTTTGTTGATCGCAGACAATGATCACCAAGAAAATTCTGGAAAAGCTTGAGGGATGCGAGCCTCCAGCTCTACTTGTCTTGCTTACTGAGTCTGCTCCTTCCAACTTTTTTCTGCAAAACATTGATTCTCGGTGGGTATCCATACGGAAGGGTGTCGAAAACTTGATAACTACGATGGTAAGTATTGTCTAATTCTGAATTTTTGTGTATTCTAGCTTGAGATTGAAATACTCGATTTTGTTTTTACTTCTGTTGCTTAATGCGCAGTCAAAGTATCATCAACACTTATTGCTACCCGCTTTGTTCCGCTTTATCGTCTTTTTTTAATCAGCTCGAGCCAAGTCTGAAGCTCCATACATTCCAAAAATCAACATAAGGCACCATAACGGATGAGTAGCCAATTGGACTGTCAAAAGTACTTTTCATCAAAAGTATCATTATCTTATGTTGTCTATTTGCGATCATGCACTTTTACTTAGTTTTAATTCCACTTTCAGGTTACCAATCCAACGCCCCTTGGTCTTGTTAAAACTCAGAATGTGCTTACTTGTTGGAAGAGATGTCTCAAGGCACTACACAAGACCAAGGAAAATCTAGAACTGTCTCCCTCGCGGTTACTCGTGGTATGGTCAAGTTACATGCTCCATGATTAGATTTTATAGGAACTCCATCAACTCCTTGCCCATGCTCTTGACAACGGTAATACCATTTGCGCCAATTACTTAACTTTTCGACAGGGCTGCCTTCAAGTCTCGCCTACAGCCTAATCAGGTTGCTTCATAAGTCTGTCGAAGTACTTTTCTATGATGAGTGGAGTTTTGCTCTCAGGCCGTCCACTTCTTGTGCGGCCGACGACCACTTACGTGCAGGAGTCCTTTCACTAGTCAGCAACATAGATTTGGCGAGTTGGAGTAGGAGCGTCCACGAGGACAACTTGTTCGATTTCGGCCCACGATGCTACCGGCTACTTGTGTACACGATCACCCGTCTTGCATTTGCACTAGGTGAATCGACGTTCCTTTTAACAAATCTCAATGATCGCTCTGTGGATCGGTGGTCTATGCATGTATTTATTTTTAGAATTTGTTAAGGTCTAACTCCTTCTAACAGTTAAGGAATTGTTTTTCCATATAGACTTCAATGAGCCTCGACTTATGAATTACCTCAACCTTCCAGATCTCGACCTAATTGGTATATTTCAATCTGATGACGTACTGCTCTTCCGTATGCTACTCACTCTCTTGCTAATTGAAAATAATTTTATTAAAGACGGGTATGTCCTTCTTGGTGCTGTTTGTGTTCTCGATAGCTAGTTGATATGTGTTGTTCTTTAATTCAAAACCACTTATGGCAAATCTGAGGAAGGGACGTTAATTGAGCTAACGTGTTTTTAGAGTGTGCAAAGTTGGCTATGTGATGTCTCTTGATTTATGTTTTTTTATTTTTTGAAGAGCCCCAAATGAACTCTCTGGTCTTTGCTTTAGTAATTTCGCAAACGCATCTCCGAAAACTAGGATGCAATAGGGTTCTTTAGCCATGGAGGCAGTGATACTTTTAAAATATAATCAATTATGTGGACTGGTACTCTAAATTATGCGTGTACAGAAATCTCGTTTTGTATTAATATATCTCGGGTTTATAATGCCGCATTTTAACATCGGTTCAAATTCTCCCATTTGGTTCGTAGTTGGATTTAAATTTCGTAATAATATGTAGTTTCGATTAACATGAACATTGCCCATTCTATTTAGGTGTTAATCTGGTGTCCTCTGTCCTCTTTAGGCGGCCTAGCGAAATTCATCTTCCATCCGCTCATCACCTCTTCACGCGTTTGCTTGAGTCGATTGATTTCGATCGGTATACCCTAATTGATTGGCTTGTTTCACCCGAAACGGACTTTCTTGCGTACCTCTTTGCTTATTCCAAGCGTGTTTGTGCCACCGATCAGCGACGTTGGTGCCTTCCCGTAAATTGGCATCAGAAGCCACGTGTGGTCGAACTCCTGAACTGCCTTGTTGAGAGCCTTAAAAAACTCCAGTCAGCTGGAGCCTTACCATTCTCAGCTGATTTACTGGTTGACCGACTTGCCAGGGCAATAAAAGTTCTCATTCTATGATCTTGAAAACAGCTAAGAAAACTAGTTTTCTTGCTTTTGTCAAGTGATGTCTAAAGGTGACGGGGTGATAGCGGTAGTTCTACATGGTAGGAATTGGCATAACTAAATTACCACATAGAAGACTGAATTGTTTAGATTAATTCGCCAGTAATCAGCGTCGGTGTAAAGTGCCCCGTGCGTCAACCTAAGAAGCCCATATGTGTGGAAGTGGTGCAATAATTTACCTACACGACTAATGGCCTTAATTTATAAAATCAAGCCCTAGTCGTATTTAATGAAGGAACCTTTTAGCAGTCCAAGGGCCCCGCGGGCTTTCAGGCTGCCATAAACACATGCTCAGGGTACTTGACCCTAATGGGCGTCCTGTATGAAAATCAACCTGCTGCCTTCCTATATAAGTCACCTTGGTAATTCGTTGTGTGGGCTTGTCAATTCAATTTTTTCGATTTTTGATTAATAGTGTAATACATTAACGGTGCTAAGTACTCAATTTGTGAAGAAAACAAACAATGATATCAGTAATTTAGTAGCATCATTATATGTACTTTCAGTTTTGTTTTAAATGGTTGTATTTTCACTTAGCGCTCTTGTCTAACGTTGTTGACGTGAATTTCTGGGTTCCTTATTCCTTCTGCCAACAAGAGAAGAAACTAAACCGTAAGTAAATCGTAAAACATCTTTAAGGTTGTTTGGTATTCCTTTCCTGTTCAGAACCAGCTTAGGAGTATCTATTGGTTGTCAATTTTGCCCCCTAATCTTACATATTAGTTTATTTTTTTCATCGTTTTTTGGCTCGCATTACCTGCTTCTCATTATCGACGTATTTTTATGCTTATTTGGGGTGACACCGTCTCACCCTCATACCTGCAATTCAGTGCCTGTAACCATTGTGTTCTAATCATTGTGAGGATTTCTCCATTAGCAAACTGAACCAGCCTTTCGTGTTTACATTGAAGTAGTCTGCACAATCCATGGTGGTGGTTATTTCAGCAGAATCTAAAATTTGTGGGTGAAATCTAGAATTTCAAGTTCACTCATTTCACTGCTAAATCTAATTTACTCTAACTTTACACATGATGTCCTGCAAGTAAAGTCGCGCGCCAAAATTATGATCCTTTTTTAGGAAATGGGTGCATATATTTCTCGTGTTTTTGATCGCCTATTCGGAAAAAGAGAGATGCGGATTCTAATGGTCGGTCTTGACGCAGCCGGGAAGACTACTATTCTCTACAAGCTAAAACTGGGAGAGATTGTAACGACCATCCCGACCATCGGCTTTAATGTTGAAACAGTGGAATACAAAAATGTCAACTTTACTGTTTGGGACGTTGGTGGGCAGGATAAGATCCGACCTCTTTGGCGCCACTATTTCCAGAACACTCAGGGTAATGTGGTTGTGTTTATCTCCATTTCCTAATTAAGGCCTGATTTTTGTGGTCGACAGTAATGATCGTGAACGTTTGCCTGAAGCCAGGAACGAGCTCAATCGTATGCTTAGCGAAGACGAATTGCGTGATGCAGTGCTTCTGGTATTTGCCAACAAACAGGTATTTTACTGATTATTTCTAAGTGTCCGTACATAGGATCTTCCTAACGCCTGCCCCGCTAGTGAGATGACTCAGAAACTTGGTTTGAATTCGCTTAAAAATCGGAAGTGGTACATTCAAGCAACCTGCGCTACCACTGGGACCGGACTTTACGAGGGCTTGGATTGGATGTCGACAACCTTGGCGGATAAAAGTCGATGAGTGATTATCGTTGCTCTTTTCTTTCGCCATTACGCACCTCCGTCAGACTTTCATTTTACCTTGTGTTTTTTGCACCTGAATGGTTTTGCTTGAATACATCAACACTTCTGCCCCTAGTCCTCGTTCTCATCCTAGTGGGTTCGGTGTGTTTTTCACATCCGCCCGGTTCCTTCAATGTACTTATAAGCACTCGTTCCCACAATGACCCAATTTCTGCCCCTTCATTCTAAGTACTTGTTGTTGCTCATTCCGATCTTAGCAAAGTCATTCACATTAAACAACTGGTAAGGCTAATCTTTTTGTCGGTGATCGTTATGTTTACAGTTGTTTTGCCACCTTGAATGCTCTTACCGCTTTGTACTAATGGTGACTTTTGAATATTAAAATTATAATGTGCGGTTCCTTAAGTGTTGCCATTGCGCTCTGTTTAAGTGGGGCTTAGGCATTTTGCTAATGTGTCGTCATACTTCTGGAGTTAGGACCGTAGTGGAGTTTCGATAATCTAATGCGTTGTTTTACTAAGGCTTCATCCCTGTCGGTCGTGCCACTCTTGATGCGAACGTGATGCAACCGCATCAGAAGCTATTAGAGGTGTGTGCCTCGACGGATGAAAACGGTAACTATACGCGCGTCAGTGAAATCAGCTTGTGCGTGCCAATCCGAATCGCAGTCATGTGGAATCTGTTTCATGAAGGTAGAATGACGCTTCTAACTTAATGTCCCATGGGCTTCGTAACAGGTAAACTTGGCCCTTGGTGCTTCCAGAGAAATTCCTCCGGCCGACCATTGAATGTGGGTTCTTCAAAAATTACCATGATGGGGCTGTAGAGACCGTTGGCCCAGTCGTTATAATCAAATTCAGGAGTGTGGAAGATGCTCCGGGGAGGATTATATAGCTAGAACTTATTTTAATTACATGGAGCCAATATGAAACTGACCAGAGGCTGGTTTGAGATTTATTATTAGCCTGTCTGACTTGGCCTTTCTCTTCCTGCGCCCCACGGTGTGGAATAAATGTGTGTGTACATCAGGTTTTGATAGCAATCAAATAGTTTACGAACCCTTAGTTGAAGAAGAATCTATGACATGATTAAACTCAGGGCAGATGTTTTAAAATTATGTCCTGTAAATTAGCATATGCAGGTTAAAAGCAATCAATGGGCAAATTTGTGGCTGAAAAGTTTTCTTTGCATTTGAAAAATTGGGTGCTTGTTTTTACTGTCAGCGTGTCGAATTAGCTTTGTAGTGACTTTCAAAGTTATAACGACGCCATGCCTGAATTTATTGCTTTATTGAAAACGGTTATGCTTACATGATTCATTTCACACAGGTTGTGTGTCTGCAACTTGACTGGACAGGGTACGCTGAATAAGAGTGAGCTACAATTTTATGACTGCTACAATTTTACGCCTGGTTATTTTGGTAGGGATATGCCGAATTTAAGATGTTGGTTGCTGTTGCTTTAGTAATTCACAGGAGTTAAGTTTTAGGCATAGAGCACTCTGCCTCCGGCTGATTATAACACGCGATAAATGCCAATGGATAGGTGAGTTTTCATATTTTGGGTCGGACGTTTCAAACCTATAACAATGCGGTCCAGGTGTTCACTTTTTCCTAATCCCTGGTCCCGCTAGGCTGTCGTGTTTTCATCCCCCGAATGCGTTGAAATCAGTTGACTTTGCAGGTTAACCACTCACTTGAATTTGACATCAGTTTTCAAGGATTCAAGGAACACAAAATTGAGTTGCACATGCAAAGAGCAATCCTTTTGTTGGTTCGTTGATCATAAACTGTTAACGTAAAGTCATGCAACAAGGGATGCGATAGGTAGAAATTTGCCACTAAATCACAGGCGGAAACACTCAAAAGCAACCATGGAGTGTAAAAAATGACTTCTGATAGTAACCAAGCATGAATAGGAAGATTGAGCAAAGTTACCGTTAAAATAAGTTTTAAATTTGGTTAAATTTCGGTGTTGAGTTATCCTTGATCAGGGCAGAAAAAAATGGATGACGTGGCTAACATAACTGGCTTCTCGATTTTTATACCCTGCGCGAAGGTTTGCGAATTGAGCTCGTGTGAAGCTAGAAGCGTACGCTAGGCAATGTCGATTACTGGAATGATGGATTACTACGGGGTCATACTCAGTGACCTGAAAACAATAATTTAGTGCTGCGGTCGGTCACGAGGTTCGGCTGGTCACCTCCTTCTAGTTAATGGAAGCTACTGCAGAACATCTTTTACCATGATTCTTGCAAGTACTCTACTTAATAACAATTGACGTCGTCCAACGGTCAACACACTTCATACTAGCAGTCTATGCAAAACGCAAAGTACTTAAACATTTTATATCGCAAAATTCGACGAACGACCGTGAAGATTATTTCGGGTTTCGAAGTTAACATGTGCAGAGGCTATCTACGAAAATGACGTTCTGGAAGGTCTGTTGCTATCAGCTCCATGAAGGTTAAAGCAGGCTTCATTAGGTATACCGGTATAATTGATTTCGAAGTTCATTATGCTATAGATGTCATCCAAATTGAGGTGGTTTTTGTGTAAGATCAAACTTATCAATTGTTTTGGTTGGATAAAGCTGGGTTTACTTGATTGGGATTTCAGCCCACACGGTTCATCGCTTACATACCGTTGAATGGCTTCGGCCAATTGTTAATTTTGACCTTTATTGTTGATGTTTTAACTGTCATGACTTGAGAATGCCAAAACACCCTGGAATCTATATTTTTCATGACAGAAAGCGATTTTCTAGGTGGTTCAGCTCTGTTATGCTTGTCCCCTTAAACGTTGTCTATAAACCAACTTGGTGTTCTTGATGGTTGCGTTCCACTGATCGTTGAGTATTAAGCTTGCAAAGCTCAACCAGTCTTTTCATTCCGAGAATGCAATGCACTGTAAATGGTACATCGACTGCTTTACAACGTAGGAAGCAAGGAACAATAAGCTGTTTCAGCCCTTGTAGAGTTCAGTCAGTTTGCGCCACTGTAAGTGCAGAGCGCGTTATTTACAATGATTGGTTAGTTCACTGATATTAGATGCCAAATAGGTTCCAGCGTGGAGGCTCTTATTCCTTCCATGAATTACCCTAAATAAGTATTTGTTAGGTTAGAAAATCAAAGTTTGCTGGTTAACAGTTATTTAATCTCTACGAGGGTGATTTTGAAAGAATTGGAGAAAAATTTTAAGCTAAAACCTTAGCTATAGATTCTTTCCCTCTTATAATCATCGTCAATCTTTCTTGTTTTGCTTAATCTGATTTGAAGGAGCGGCACTACACAATTAAATCAAGATTTGTTCACAACTAGGACTCGAGGTACATCCGTCAAACTTAGTTGCTCGATCAAACCGCTAGCCTTTTAGACCAGAAGGTGACTTCGGGTCGCGGATGGCAAATCAAACCCATGTTTGAACAAATCCTAAACCTGTATAATATTGTGCCTTACTGCCAACCAAGTCCTACACCCTCACTAACTTGTATCTCATTAACTGAGACAAATTGTGTTGTGTAGAAAAATGTCACTGCAACAAGGTAAGCTGAAGTTAAGTAGAAAAACCAACCACGATGCCGAAACAGCACTGTATTAACGGTTTCCCAGTCACTTTCCTTCATTGCTTTTAAATGGTAATATCGAGTTACTAAGCCCACAAATGCTCACTTAAATGTTCTGTATCATTTAATTCAAGTCAGAGCTCCAACATTTCCTGTTCTGGGCAGCAACGTTCCTGCGACAAAAAGTGATAGGTGATCCTAAATTCCTCCCAAGGCTTGTCTCGATGCTTTTCAACATTCCAAAGTATTAGTTTTCTTCTGACGGTCGCCAAATCCTGAAGACATTCATCGACGATAGATTAGTGAAATTCCCAATTATTAATCAGATTATTTCTGCTAATACTCTATTCTTAAGGATTTGACATAATTCACTAGCATTAGATACTAATACGCAAAACAAATCGTAATAAAATGCAAGGAAATTAAATTCATTTATCAAGGTTTGACTGTGAGTATAATTGATTCGATGGTCTGTGTGTGCATTACTCACACACCGTGTTTAAGTTTAATTACGTGGTCACAGGTTCTGAATTGCTGGCTAAGAGAAATATTATCGTGTTTCTAATCCATGATGATTTAAAGGTGTGAGAAAGCCGGCAAATAAAAGATTTTTTTTGCCAGCACCACTGCTTCTGAGTATAGCAAGGGCAAAGGCACTTAGCTTGTTAACCAATCTTTAAACCACAATAACCGACGGAATGCATTTTACGTTTCGACAGAACGTCATCCACTGAATGCTAGCATCCCTCAAGCTTTTCCAGAATTTTCTTGGTGATCATTGTCTGCGATCAACAAAAAAGCACTCACTTCTGGTTAAAAA